TTAAGTAGTTTTACAAAGGAGTTGCCATCTAATTAAACAGTTTTTGAATCCAATTCATCTTAATCAATGTCATTCCTTTCAAATTCCTCACCCATCCCTTCCTTCATTCTTCATTATTTTGTGGTATGTACATTGAGTTCTTGACTGCATTTCCCCCTTCATTTCTCTTCAATCATCTCCTCCTTTCCCTTGACCCTACCCAACCATTTTCAAATACTCACTTCTTGGTGTTTATTTTGTTGAACTTGACTTTGCCTTTCTAAGAAATTACATTCTTTGAATAATTCCTTGAATCTACCATATTTCAGCTAATACATTTTAACATATTTACATACCATGCAATGTATTTGTAAGTTTAACACATACATATATTTTGTGCATATATATAGATATACATATCATATATATAATATGTACAGAAATAAAAGTCTTGCTGAAAGGGAACAAATAACAGCAGAGGCATGTGTTTGGAGATTTAGACAAAAAAGAATATATATGTTCAGCTATAAGACATTTTGAGCAGAGTGGTGACATGACCAAATTATAATGTGAATTATCTCACATTATTTTTTTGAAAAGAAATCACTGAAGACATGGAATGTTTGGAGGAGAGAATTCATCTGAGGAAATAGAATGGAGTCTACCAAGAGGAGTAGTTCCATGTTTATCTTTAAGTAGCTTTGTGAAGAAGTTAGTATTCAACACTCAGTTTTTTTATTACAGTGCTTCTTGACCTATGTTACCACATCAACCTTCCCCATTGCTCAGTGTTCTTGATTTTGTGGGATATGTACTAACTTGTCATGGGACTTGAACTCTGGGCTTGGGAGCTATCTCTCAGCTCTTCAGCTGAAGGCAGGTGCTTGAGCTGCTTGAGCCACAGCACCACTTCCGGTTTTCTAGTGGTTTATTGGAGATGAGTCTCACTGACTTTCCTCAAATCTCATTCTCCTGAGTGGCTAGGATTACAGATGTGGGCCACCTGCGCCCAGCTTTGCATTAACATTTATGACTATATTCGCTCCCCCCTTCCTCTTTACATTCATCAAATCACTTCCCGTTGATTCCTCCTCTCCCTACTCTGGTCTTCATTTTGTTGAAATGAAGCTCTCTAAGGAATTACAGCATTTTAGAGGAAAATCATATAAAATGAAGTAAATTAGATCAAAAGAGAAAAGGAATGAATGTTTTCTCTCACATGTAGAAGCTAGAATTAATATATAAATGTATGAGTAAACAAACACTTGGGGGTTATTAAGTATACACAAATACATTGACTGTAATATGGTATTTTCAGGCAAGAATCAAACATTTCCATGTTTTAAGAAACTGCAATATTCTTCAAAAATCTAAACATAGACCTTTCCTAAGACTCAGCCATACCACTCCTAAGTATCTCCCCTGAGCATCAAGAACCAGGACATGACAAGGACACCTGTACATCCATGTTCATTGCTGCACTATTTACAATAACCAGGATATGGAAACAACCCAGATTCCCACAATAGATGAACAGGTCCTGAAATTCAAAATTAGGGTACCTGTATATGATGGAATTTTACACAATCATTAGAAAGGATAAAATGATGCCATTCACAGGGAAATGATGGAACTAAAACAAATCAAGTTAAGTGAGGTAAACCAAGATCAGAGTCAAACAGCACATGTTCTCCCTGATAGGCACAAGTTAGATTTGAAACACAATGGGACATGATAAATTATACAGGATTATACACTCACATACAGTGAAACCAAAAGAGGATAATAGTAGGAGAAAGTCACCAAGTTGTAATACCCAAGAACCCCTTCAAATATGTACAAAATAGTATACATATTGAAACAAATTCCAAATATATGAAAACAAAGGATCTTTTTCTTAACTTTTTTTTCCATTTTCTGAAGACCTAGTATTCTGTACCTCATATATGGTATACTCATGAGCATACCTGAGGAAGGGGAGGGGAGGGCACAGAATCAGTGGAAAATGGGTGAAAAAGTGAAGCAGCAGAGCTCTCTAGCTGCACTGGACATGTGAGCCATGCAATTCATGGGCGAAGATGGGAGGGAAGGAATGGGAGAGAACAAGGGAACAGATGATACTATGCAAAAGGAAGGAAAGGTATTTAGTACCTGGCGTATATAAAGTTAACTCCACTGTATAGCTGTATATCATCTCTAAAAGTAAAGAAATTAACAAGAAAAGAAACTGCTATAAACTATTTTTATTTTATTTTATTATCAGTCATGGGCCTGAACTTTGGGCTTGGGTGCTATTCCTGAGCTATTCAGCGTAAGGCTAGTGCTCTACCATTTGACCACAATGCCCGTTCTGGCTTTTTCTGCTTATGTGGTGCTGGGAATCAAATCCAGGGCCTCATGCGTGCAAGGCAAGCACTCTACCACTGAGCCACCTTCCCAGCCCCTGCTATAAACTCTTATAACAACTAAGTTGAGCTTAGTGAGGTAAAAAAAAGTTTCCTAATTTATGAAGATCATGGTATGGTAAGAATAAGCCAAATTATGTATAAATAAAAAAATGTGAATAAGTCAGAGATATTTATGAAGGGAAAATAGTAAAAACAAACAAACAACAACAACAAATCCATCATGAGAACTGGCAGACACATTGAGCTAAAGTTGAAACACCAACAGTTTACTCAGTATCTATACTAATCCAGCATTAATCTCAGGCTTTAGGTGGATATAAATTTTCATGGCTTTCCTTTAGTATTTCATGAATTTTAATGATAAAATCATACCTTCAGAATACTTAAAAATATGACTTTACTCATATTCTGATCATTTAAGTCTGAATTTTCTAGAAAGTAGCCTATGTTCTTATACAATAGCCTATATCCACTAAAAATATAAAAAAATTAAAGTCAATAAATGAATATTCAATTGTAAGAAGTTGTGTATGACAGTGAGAAATGATAGCTTCCATTTGGCAGACCTAAGAGGTGATTTGGCAGAAATTTAGTCTATGTAACTAAATAGAAAATGTATGAATTGTTCAAGTTTATATATTTAAAAGAACTTACTAATTCGTTAAATAAAATTAACAATTAGTTTAAAAACAGTTAAAGTTGCATCTGGTGAAGTTTTTAGCATAATGAGTGGTCACAGAACAAAAAGGTTAATGATGTTATTTTTCTCAAAGATTTAAGATCCAAAGGAGGCTATATAAATTAAATAAGTGGATAGGTATGGTTTTGTAAATACAAATAACACATACTTGATTCTCATATAATTTATTTTATATCAGGTTTTTATATCAGCTTTTCATTTTTATTGTCAAGGTGATATACAGCAGGGTTTCAGTTATATAAGTAAGGTAGTGAGAACATTTTTTGTCAACCTTCATTAGCTTCAGGAATAAAATTATGGTACTAAGTCCATTTGCCACAGTTAGGGCTTGTGTTTTCTACCACATTTTTTTTTGTTTGTGTTTGGGAGGTCTGGTTCTGGGGCTTAATATCAGGGCCTGGGTGTTATTCTTAAGCTTTTTTGCTTAGAGCTAGGGTTGTGTTGCTTGAGCCACAGCTCTACTTCTGGCTTTTTCAGAGTAATTTTTCACAGACATTACTGTCTGGGATGACTTTCAACCATGATCCTCAGATCTCAGACTCCCCAGTACCTGGGATTATAAGCGTGAGCCACCAACACCTATATTCCCATATTCAATATTTTAAAGAATGAAAAGCAGGCATTCCCAACACTTGGGAGACGGAGACTGAAAGATAGCAAGTTGTAGGTCAACCTTATGTACATATTAAAACCATATCTCAAAACACAATAGAAGAAAGGATCTATTATTTTATATTAAGATAACATCTGGTTCTTCAGTAATAGAATGTCTAACTCTTTTAGTTTCTTTTTTTTCCTTTTTTAAATTATTTTTTCATTGTGAAAATACCACACAGAGGGGTTACAATTACAAGAGCAAGGTAATGAGTACATTTCTTATCAAGCATTGTTGCCTCCTCCTTTGTTTCCCCTACCATCCCTGCCCCTATAACCCCTCCTCCCCCACCCCAGCCTACAAAGTTGTAAAAGGTTTTGGCAAAATGTAGAGTTAAACATACTGGGGCCAGGAGTATGTAGTAATCTAGTATCAGAAAGAAAGTGATTCTTTAAAAACTGGTAGACTCACATTGACAGGGAGACATGAAAAGTTTTAGACAGCTGAATAATAAAATAAATGAAATATTTCCTTTGTACACTAATGAATAAAAATCCATGTGTCCCTATCCATACTAATATAAATGATGAAATAAACTGTGAATCTGAGGAAGAATAAATTAATGTCATATACAGGCAAATTCTTAATCAGTTAATCAGATATTTCACCCTTAAAATATATCAGAAATTGCTATTTCTCAAATGACGAATGCATATCGTAACTTACTTCCAAAGAGCACAACACAGGAAACAGGAGGAAAACACACAAACAGAGAAAGAAAATAAATAACCAGACAATGCAAAAAAACCTAACTCTAATCCTGTTTACATAGGATTTGTATTATCCTAGGTATTACGAATTATGCAGACATGATGTAAAATTTGTGATATCAGGATAATATTAATATTTCTGGTACTGTTAATGAAAATATATTCTGAGAAAATAATGTTTGGCAATTATATTGAGCACAAACAGCAGGTCCAAACTAAGATGACTTTTTCATCACCAGGCAAGATAATCTTATGGGACCATGGTCATCACTGACTAAAAAGTAGTATTAGATAGTGAACAATAGTGCTTATTTACATAAGCAGTGAGATTCTGAAGATGGTTAACAAACTTATATCTGTAAAACGCTTTATAATTTTAACAACTTTCTATAGACAAAATAAAATGTTTTTCCTGCTAAATAAATATTTAATCATTGAGGGTTTTTATTATACTATATAATAAAACAACCAATGTACATGCTATATGAAATAAGTTGTAATTTTAAGGCCCTATTTGTCATGCTGATCTTTATTTGTATTTTTTACAGCTCCTTCTCCAGTCACCAATGTGAAAAAAGGAAAGATTACAAAAAACAGCATCTCTTTGTCTTGGCAAGAGCCAGATCGTCCCAATGGAATCATCCTGGAATATGAAATAAAGTATTTTGAAAAGGTGAGAATAACAGAATAAAAGCTGTCCTTTTCTTTTTTCTATCCATTTTAACAACAACAATCATCCAATTTGTAGAAGAGTATGATGCACTTTTATGAGTAAATCAATGACCATTGATTCTACAGTCATGATTATGGAGATTAGATATGCACTAGGAACACTGTATCCTGTCAAGTAGTTTATGCTCCAAGATACCACCTCATAGTCTAAAAGCAGGTAAACTAGTTTCCACAGCATTAAAAGATGAAATCATAGGATATTTTGAAAGTGCTAAAAATGGTTACACTCTTGGTGTTCAGCAATAACTACAGTCTACTGCAAGGAAAAACACACTTACGGGTATATCTCCACACCATACCTGCACTGCTAAAGAAAAAGGAAATAAGATGTACTCTGTCTCTGTTTCTCTGTCTCTGTCTCTCTCTCTCTCTCTCTCTAACACACACACACACACACACACACACACACACTCACACGCCCAAACCCTGGCATATAATTTTAAGATACAATTTATGCTGTAGTGTTTGAAGCTTCAATTTTACTAAAGTGTTTGAAGCTTGCTTCAATTTTAAAATACAGTTTGTACTCGAGGGTTTAGTCAAACACTATCATATTGGAATGTGTTGATTACATTCCCTAAATTTTTGTGATTTTCTCTGAGTGAGTTACATCCTAGGTTTACTCTTATGTGTTTTATCATAGTAATTGTTGAGATCTAAGGATGGTAATCATACATTGCTTCTTTCCTGAATCTACATTCTTATCAGCTATAGGCAGTGAGATCATCCAGGTGGAAACACAAGGTGAGCTTAGAACTTGCAAAGCTGAATTGTGGCAGAAATACAGAGCCACTGAGCCTTTCCCTCACTCCCATCTTCTTGTACTGCAATTGTATTGTACTGTTCTACGAAACAAAATCTGTGTCTCAAACAAGTTGAAGTATAGCTTGCGGAGTATAGTATTGATAAAATTGGAATTAGTACAGTGGAATATAGCAATGTTAATTACTTATTAATTCTTATTTCTCTGAGATTCCTAAGTACATACGAATACCAGAAATCTCAAATCTAAACATACACTGAATTCAAGAACACTTTTTCCATTTCCTACCAAATGGGGCGATGTCATTCTTTCTGATGGAGGCATAGAATTCCATTGTGTATATATACCACATTTTCTTGATCCATTCATCTACTGAGAGGCATCTTGGTTGGTTCCATATCTTAGTTATGGTGAATAATGCTGCAATAAATATAATTGTGCTGGTAGCTTTATTGTGGTCTTGGAAAAATAATATATTAAGTGAAGTAAGCCAGGCCCATAGAAACATAGCTCCTATGGTTTCCCTTATTTGCAATAACTAGTATGTGTCTGGGACAAGCAGAAAGGGTCAAAAGCTATGTACATATGACCAGATAAGATGATGTTAAGCAAAATGAACCATACCATAGGGACACAAGTGGTTTTTTTCTTTCTTGTTATTGTTCCTAACAAATTTATAATGTACCATGTGATTTTTTTTTGTTTCTTTGTATGTTCCTCCCCCATGGTATAACCCCTGTTTTTACTGTATTTGATGTCAATGCCCTGCAGCTTGTATATACACTTCTCTAGCTTGGGGAGGGGAAGAAAAAAAAGAAAATGCTTAAATAGCGATACAGTTTGACCCATTGTAACATTGAGCTGTACAAGACACTATGTTGAAAAATGAACTTTACAATTTAGGTGGGGAAAGGCGTGGAGAGAAGGCACAGTGTAGTTGTTGAGGTGGGAGGGAAGGGAGGGTAGAGAAAAAACAAAGGAGTAGGTAACAATGCTTGATAGGAAAAGTACTCATTACCTTGCTCATGTAACTGAAACCCCTCTGTACAGTGTTTTTACAATAAAATGTATTAAAAATTAAATTAAATTAAAAAAAATTTCAAGATAAGGTTTACATTCCTCAGTTAAAGTTTTCTAATCCTTAATAATGTGCACTAAGGTAAATGTGTGTAAAATATATGTGTGCATGCATACACACAGAAACCTGTTAAATTCTGTAAACATCCTAGATTTTCAAATTTTCTTTGTGATTAAAACTGATATTAAAGATTGAAATGTGTTGTGGGAATATAAACAACTAATGGCCAAATAATGGCTGTATATTCAATATATTTATACATCTTAGAGAAATATAGCTAAACATGAAGACTAAAAGTTTGACAAATGCTGTTTGCCTTAATTGTTTTCCTTCTGACAACTCAACTAGTAGAGCAAGTGTTGTTGGTGAGGAAGTAACCTTATTCATACAAACAATATGCAGAGGAAATAGATTTCTTTTTTCTTTAACAATGTGTGTTAGCACAGTCACTCAACATGCTGGGCAAAATTATTCTGATGTTAATAGTTGTAGTTAATTTTATTTATGTTGTAGTTTTTTTCTTCTTACAAATCAATCTAATATAGATTGGGGTAAATTTGATGAAAAGCACATCATATAGATATACATAAATAACACATTGAAACTCCTATGCTTAATTTATGTGAATGTAAATGATAAACAAATAATTTCTATTTGGATTGTGTTTATTTCGACAGGATTTGGTATTACATTTAGTAGTTTGAGCTTGAGACTCTTCTATAATTCTGTTATCTTCATCACTCAAGTAAGCAAACTGGTTTGATATGTGAAAAGGATTGCTATTACATTTCCTAAACACATTAACGAGAAGTTTCCTACTTATCATTCGTTAAAAGCAGCAAAGATTTTACAACATATATTACTCAGGCAGAAAGTTATGAACTTCTTTTGGTCAGTGTGTTTTCCTTTTTACAATGAGGGTATTAATTCCTGGAACTTTTTGTCAGGCCAAAAATATGCTCACTAGAGCGTCCCGGTGTAATTCATGTAAAAAAAAATTAACACTTCTAGGAAAAATAAAGGGGGATAATGGGCCTTTATACTATGCATGGAGGTGGGGGTCTTGGTAGGTTTCCAGAGCCCGTTTAGAGCCTTCAGAGTGACACCGCTATTTTATTGGATGGCTTTTGGCCAGACACAGGTGGCAAAGCTTTCCAGGGCACAAGCACTTGCCAGCTGGCATTTCTGCCTGTGATTGCCCTGCTCTAATAGAGGTCATTGGGCTTCTGTGCTCTGGCGTGGTGATTGGCCTATTGCCATCTCTTAATTAAAGGGAGAGGAAAAGGGAAGCTGCCCCTTGGCAGGCTGTTTGCCAGCTGGCTGCTTTGGCTGAGGCCCTCCCCTCACTCCATGTGGGAAGTGTTAGCTAAGCAGCTGGGGAATGTAGCTCATTTGCTTAGCTGGGGCAGGAAGGCAGCAAAAGCCACTGCCATAACTAAGGATTTGGCAGCCAGGTGGTTGTGGGTGTTGAAGAGGTGCACACAGGGCTGGTGTTATGAAGAAAATGACAATGTGAGAGTGATTTATGGAGTGTGATAGAAATAAATTTTGGAAGATATTTAGATTTTTTTCAAAATGCATATTCACTGGATTCTATCGCTTAGATACATGGTTCACTACATTCGGTTTAATATTGTAGCATCCAATGGATTCAACAAGACAATGTGCAATTCGATTGTAGAGAAGGGGAAAGTGAGATGTAATGTTAATCATTATATCAGACACAATGTTCTATTTTCTTTTTGTACTATGAGTATTAGTTCACATATTAATTCAAAGAGCAGCATTCTGGTTTTCATGGACATTTCCTTTCCTGTGATTTTAGCAAAAGTAGTCATTTCTAACCTTTTACCAAATGTTTTCTACACATTTGATAGTAAGGATTTCAACCATGTGAACTTTTAAAAAAATGTTTTTCCTTTTCTTGTTTCCATGGAAGAATTTACCATTGTGTTATGGATTAAGAAAAATCAAGTTTACCTAGAATTTGTTATGTGGATTGCATTTGGTGCTATGTAATTATCTTTATTATGTCTCCTTTATTGTGTCTCCTCCAACTTACATTAATAAAAGTGTTCCATCTTCATTTTAAAGAAGGAAAAACTGAGGTGTGGAGTTAGGTATACACATGACCACATAAGCTTAGTGAAAGACACTTGGTATTGATTGAAAATTATCATTTTTATTAGAGATATTAGTATTTATATAAACATAAATTTTGACTAAATTTGTTCAATATGTTACATGTTCTGTAAACATATGCAAATAATATCATTCAGATATCTGATTACTTTCTACTGAAAAGTTATTGCTGCAATCATAGCCAATCTGGAAAATACAGTTTGAAAATGTAATGTTACTTATTATCAGTAATGTTGAAAAATAGAAAATAGTATGATTAGCTTTACTTAGGCATAAGCCCAAGAATTTTCAGAGCAGTCAGTCACTAAAATAAATCCTAAAATCTATTTATAGTATTGATATGGTACACATCATAGGATTAACTGTTTTTTCATGGTGTTTCATTTCTTTGAAGTATGTCAGAGTACATAGGAGAAGATCAGTAAATGTTTTTGAAGAAAAAAATGAATTAAACATGTAATTTTTTACATTGTGATTACCTACTTTAAATTCCTTGTAAAAACTATAATAATTTTCCTAAACTTTGACAGATTTGGCCTTTAATCTGGGTCTGAGAAACTAGAAATCAACTATGTCTCTACAATGAATCAGAAACTTATTTCAATTGAAAATTAGAACATCTCAGCGGGGCGCTTGTGGCTCATGCCTGTAATCCTAGCTACTCAAGAGGCTGAGATCTGAGGATCGCGGTTCAAAGCCAGCCCGGGCAGGAGAGACCTTGAGACTCCTATCTCCAATAAACCACCAGAAAACCGGAAGTGGCGCTGTAGCTCAAGTGGTAGAGCGCTTGCCTTGAGCTGAAGAGCTGAGGGACAACGCCCAAGCCCAGAGTTCAAGCCCCATGACCGACCAAAAAAAAAAAGAAAAAGAAAATTAGTACATCTCAAGTTGAGAGAAATTCTATGATAATTTGTTATGTTTAAACACAGTAAAGGAGGAATGTAATCATCTTGGAAAGAAGCATGTTTGCAGGCTGTACATTTTGTCTAGTTTTTGTGGTAGTGTAGAAAATCCTTAAACGTCATCTGTGACATGCTAAAATAGGAAAGGTTGAGAAAAATTAGAATATAATTATGAAAATTAAAACATTTTAGCTGGTTAAATATTTTTATTCTCGTATTGCCTGTTTCATTCTTCCTTTATTTCTGTGATGTGCCTTACTGATAAAGAAACTGAAAAAGTTTCTGGCGGTGGTGGTGAGGGCCTGTATTCTCAAGTACTCAGGAAGTATATGGAGAATCAATTTTGAAAATAGCCCAGGTAAACTTAGAGATATTTTAATTTCAAAAATATTAAAAACACAAGGAGAAATATGAGTGGAGAATGACTCCACTTGTAGAACAGTTGTCTAATTAAGGCCGATTCCAAATACAGAATAAAAAACTTAAAAAAAAAAAAAAGCCTGTTCTAATTTGTTCTGTGATTTCAGGACCCACACTGACGTCTGTGCTTTGGCTATAGGAAATAAGTAGGACAATATCACTTGTACAGTCTTCTGATAGCAGTCCAAATAGAAAAAGATCTTCTTTTCAGTTTTCATACTTCTTTTCCAGTATTTTTTTCCTACTTTAGTTACTACTTTCTTAGACCATGCCTTAACATAGCATTTTTTCAAGAAAAATGTATATCATTCATTTGGCATGTTTCCTTATTGCTTCCTATCTATATGTGGTAAAAGGAAATTAGAATTTTCAAATGAAGTACTAATTTTGTCTCCGAAATTATAAATATAAATAAGAACATAATTCACTAAAGATTTACAGATGTAGAATATCTGGCTGTATGTGAGATATTGTTGACATTCTCTATGAATACAGTATCCTAGACATTTTCCAATGGACTATTTCTGAGAAAATGAGCACAAAAATACAATAGCTCAGAAACTGATACATTGATTTGAAACCCCATTGTACAACATAGCAAAAATGAAATAAAATAAGTCTGTAAAATAATAAATCTCTTATTATAAAAGTTTCACAAATTTATTTTTGCCAAAGGAAAAAGTGATTAATGGACAGAAAACATGTTGCCCTGAACCTTGAGATATAAATATATTATCACATACAGAGTTAATAGGATTCTTTTCAAGTGTGTTTATAATAATAGCATGCATTGGTTTCTAGTTCAATTTGTGATCTAAGTTTTTGCTGTCATTTTTAATTCATATGCTGACTGCTTTCCTTTTCTTATATATAATTGTATTACATGTGCAATCCAAGGACCAAGAAACGAGCTACACAATTATCAAATCCAAAGAGACAACTATTACGGCCGAGGGCTTGAAACCAGGTTCAGTGTATGTCTTCCAAATTCGAGCACGTACAGCAGCAGGCTATGGTGTCTTCAGTCGACGATTTGAGTTTGAAACCATCCCAGTGTGTAAGTCATTTTAATTACTGTCAACTGGTGTCTCTGTAATTGTTACCAGGAAAGAGTCAGTGGATCAATAACCTCTCTGGGCATTCTGTCAGTTTTACTCGCCTTCCCTCTCTACCAGGCATGACCCCTTCAGGTAGGAAAATCTGTCATGCTATTAAGGTCCAGCGGTGGGTTAACATTTCTGTCCAGCTCTTCCTTGCATCTAGTCTGCTGGGAGATGCTACCCCAGGAGATCATTAAGAAATGTTTAAATCTTGCTTTTAAAGACTTTGTTTCCCCTGCTCCCCTACTTTATTGAATTATTGCCATTCACTTTTCTTTTTCTTTTTCTTTTTTTTTTACCTGTTTCATTGAACTATGCTGTTTTAGTCTTTCTAGGAAAATTCCACAGGGAATTTTCTTTAGCACTGAATTGAGGAAGAAAATAGTGCTCTCAGAACTAATCTGATTTCTTGAATAGGAAAATATTTAAATCTCTGGCAGTAACACAAAGTGGAAAATCTAGAAATCTTTCTGAAACACCATTTTGGTATCTTCATTTGCCTATAAAATTGTATTAAACTTCTTTCTCTAACGTCAATGAAATAATTAGATAACTAACTTGTCCTATATTTAATTAATACATTGAAAAGAAGATTAAAAAACAGTAACTACTTTCCAAAAGGTGAAATAGACATTTCCTAAGTTTTCACTACTTTCTCTAACTTCAATGAAATAATTATATTACTAACATGTCTTATAGTTAATTAATACTTTAATGGAAAGTTTAGAAGACCATAATGACCTTCTGAAAAGTGAAATAGATATGAATAGGTATGCATTGAAAACAAGCTGACATACGAATGATACCCTAGGAGGCTTATGCCTGTAATTCTTGCTGCAGGAAGAATAAGACCTGGAGAATCAGTTTGAAGTCTACTGGGAGTGTGTCTGAGACACCTTCTCCACATATCCAAAAACGTAACAAAAAGATGCATGGTTCAAGTGGTAGAGTGTCATACACGAGCAAGAAAGCTAAATGAGAGTATGAGGCCCTGAGCTCAAAACTTGGTAGCAGAAAAAAAAATTAAAAAGCCATTGCTTTACAAAAACCATAAGATGAAATGCATATTTCTTTGTTGGAAAACAACAAAAGTGTGAGTCTAGTCCCTAAATTACCAATAAATATGTTTTATAAACTTATATAGAAATTCAGAAAATCAAGATGTTTTTAATTAATTCAATTGTCTGTAAGTATTTTTAATCACTTCTCAAGTGTTACCCCACTGGATTTCATACAGATAAGTGGTCATTGTAAAAAGTAATGAAATATTATTTTTCTATGAAAAGGAACATTCCATGTATGAACTCTATTTAAACCACTAACATGAGGGTCTCAAATGATTACCTTTTCAGTGTCTTAGAAAATACAAAAATCAATAGAATCTTTTCTGGATATAATTCAACAAAAATATATAAGCATCTTTGTGTTGTTGTTCTTGCCTAAGTCTTTGCTAGGCTCTGGACAAATCAATATAAATATCAAAGATAAATACCCTTCCAAAACTTCGAACATAGTTTCTTTAATTCTGAATGATGAAATTCTTGTTTCAAAAATCATTGTAGAATCATTATTTTGTGTATTATTTAATTTTTATTTCAGTATTGTCTATATATTAAAATAAATCTCCTTAGTTATAGTGACTCAAGTTATTCACATTTGCAGTCCCTTCTTTCTCTAGGCAAACAGTCTAAACAAAACAAGAGATACAGTTGGAAGACTATATCTGCTAATTATTCACAGCTGTTAGTAGTTGAAACATATGTTAAATATTTTATAGTTGCTATCTCTAATGTGGATATAATAAGCAGGGAAATTTGTTTTAAGGAAATGGAAAATTTTCTTAGCTATATTCTAGCAAATAAATATTGGACCCTTCTCCAAATTTGGATTGAAGATTATTATTATATTTAGATATAAAAATGTATTCATTGTTGGGAATTGTCTCTCTCACCTATAATCCAAGCTACACCAGAAGCATAAACCCAAATATGAAAATTTGAGGCCATCCTGGGTAAAAAGTTAGTGAGACCACCAAATCTCAATCAACCAACTGGTTGAGTAATATTGGCCAATTTTCTCATTTGTTTAGGAGATACTAGGTAAGAGGATTCTTGTCCCAAACCATTAAAAAAAAAAACTAGAAACAATCTGAAAAATAATTTTAAAAAACCTGGTGGCTCAGGTGGTATAGTGTTTTCAGGGCTTAAAGCTCAAGCTCCAGAATCAGAAACAAACAACAAAAAAAAGTATTTCTTCCCCAAGGAGAGATCCTTTCAAGGTAGCCTACAATGGAACAAATTCCTTCTTGAGGAAGATCTTAGAAGAAGTGAAACCTGGGAGGAAAAAGATGTAACAATGGAGTTAACAGAAAGCAAAACAAGGCTGTGCTGGTATAGTTAATCACAGAATCCTCCTTAAACACTTTCTTATTAAGGAAGGCATTTAGAAAATATAGGTAGGGGTATTAAATTGATACACTCAAAAAGTGAGAAAAATTCATTATGGGGTGGAATTAGTTTGAAAATTAATGAAATAATCAAAGACATTCAAGCAGTAGTTGCACCTATTTAAAATAATATTGCATTTGGATACTATGGAACCAAATACTGAATAGATTTTCTTATTTCATTTGTAATGCACAACACATCCCTTATCTAAGACCTCATTGTCAGTGAATTTCAAAGCCTAAAACCTTGGAATTGCATTTTTTTTTCAACCATTTCCCTAAAACAGAAAGTAAGAACAGAACCCAGACCTATTGTAAATAATAGTTTTATTCTAACAAGTTGTTGATAATATTTGAGTCTCAAGAGGTGGTCAGTAATGATTGATATGCATGTAGATCAGGAAAGAAAGTGATTAAAAAGGAATCTAGTCTATTTTGGATAGAGAGGTTCAAAGGTGAGGCAACAAGAATTAAGAGAAAATGTGAAATCTAAAAGTTGGCCTATAAATCTAGTAAATAGTGGGAAAGACAGAAACTTATCAAACATCAAAACTTAGTTTTAGTGATTTAAAATTTTCTAAGGTACAGGAGAGACAGTGATACTCTGAAATCATCAAAACAATTAGGCTTTTCACCAGGAGCCATACTGTTTTACTGAGTCAATCCTGACAACTTTTTTTTTTAAATTTTGTGTTATTGTAAAGATGCTGAACAGAGGGGTTACAGTTACACGAGTAAGGAAATAAATACATTTCTTGTCGAGCATTTTAACTTTTAGCAACACAAAAGAAAAATTAATTTGCTTATTTACCTAACCACATCCATATTTCTATAAAATAGCCTTGTATTTTTAAAGTAGAAAATACTTTATCTAAACATACCATGTTTTATGAAAGAGTTATAATTGAGTCTCACTTTTTACACAGGTTTTTCAATGTTTGAAATTTATGCTTTGACATTTTCAAACAGTGATCCTACTTATAAAGCATACTTACCGATTATTACCTACTTATTGTTAGGGCTTTTAGTTATATAGGAGGGGTATTATCTATAACTTCAATGAGTACCTAGTCATATTAATTTAAAATTTATGTCTATGGGAAAAATCTTTTCTGAATTGATCTGATTATAGTTTTTTTAGAAAACACCCAGCATACTCTAAAAAATGTCCAGGCACATGCACTGAACACCGCTTTATCCTGCTTATGCTGTTTGAAATCAATGAGATTGTTCCATTTTACCTTTCAAACCTTAGGCACCTGGATAAATGCTATGCAAACAATATACATTCATATTTTATGATGACAAGGAAATAATCGGTGACTTAGAGCCGACTTCAAATTTCTATTTGGAGAGTAAATATTTTCTCCGTCTAAAGATGCCTTTTCAATTACACACATCTGAGAAGAGATTTTTGTGGAGGAAGCTTTAGCCAAGTGGGTGAATTGCTTAAGCCATGAGTACATTTCCAACCACTAAGAAGCTGTTATTTGAATACATTGAATCCCTTTAATCATACCTCCATTTTCAATGTCTCCCATCAGCAGTTGCAGCATCGAGTGATCAAGGCCAGATTCCAATCATTGCTGTGTCTGTGACAGTGGGAGTCATTCTTCTGGCAGTGGTTATTGGTTTCCTCCTTAGTGGAAGGTAAGAGTTTGGGAAAGTGTGTTTCTCAACTTCTATAGCTGATCTCGTGCTTTCCTTAATATAAACTATTGTGCTGTTCAGCAAATCCCAAAACAAATCAGGCAAGCGTTTTATCAGCAGAAAATGTCATTGTATCATGGGCTTCTTAAGTTTTTTTTTGTCCGTGCTAGTGCTAATTTATAAGCACACAATTTCTGTCTTTCAGGTACCTACCCTTCATAAAAGAAAACTTCACAAGAATAGTGTTAACCTCCTCTTGTTTATTCTGTTACTAATATACTCATTTTTCTCTTATAATATAGTTTAATTTAAGTACTGATAATCTTCTCTCTAGAAAGTTGTAAACTTGTCTGTGATAATTTTGATTAGGGTTTAGGAAGACTTCTGTGCTTAGAAGAGTTTGAGATATAGAAATGATCATTATAGTAAGCAGTCATTTGGACAAATAACATTTTGAAAAATGAGAATTTTTTTGAATGACTGCTTTTATTATATTTTTTAGCTCCTACATGGTATCAAAATGAATATATCAACCATGGAGTATGGTGATTTAAATTGTATTTCACTGAATGCTGTAGTATGTGACTCTATGCATTGCACAACTATATTTTTCATTTTGAAAATAAGAACTGTAACTCTAATAGGAAACTTAGTAGATATGTTTGCTGACAATTCATTGAACATGATTGTTTCCTAAAATACTAGTGAGTAAATTATGCTCTATTCTATAGCAAATGTAAATTTATATTTCCATATTTTTATACAGGGAGATTCAGTAATGTGAGTTGCTCATTGAATTTAATTGTGGTGTTCTGACCATTGCAGATAAAATTCTTCAGCCTGTTCAAATATACTGTAAGAACCAAAATACAAATTAGATAGTCAATTCATTCCTTTTTATTTTGGTAATGCTTTACTCAGTTAATGTTGGTGCTTTATCAATTATTCAACTCATAGCTAGATAAACTAGGTACTTTTGAAAGTATAGTAGCTGTGTTCTCTATCTGTATCTTTAAGTCCCTATCTGTATCTTTAAGTTACATGGCAATAGTTTATTTTCAGAAAATATTGCTAGTCTATTAAAACATCCTTTCTTTTTCTATATAAAGATTCATTTCTTCTGGTTCTTCCACAGTTAGAAGAATTTAAAGTTTTCTGAAGAATCCATGTTGCAATCTATAGTTTTCTTGCAATATTAGGACAGTAGTTATGTATCTTTAGGACTTTTAACTGGATGACAGTTCATGATCAATTAGGGACCATTGAAGACAGTGGAGCTGACACTCCTAGGGTGCTTGATATCTCTTGTCTACTTATAATTTCTTTCTGATGTCAGAAAGGGACAAGGTCCAAGTAGTTCCCTTTCTTTCCAGAAGATAGGTTTCTCTCACAGGTCATGTCATAAAATCTATTCAGTTGGAAGGATGTAAACTTTCACCAAAACTTATCAAACTCTTAAATGAAACTTTCATTACTGTATGTTGTTGAAAGTTCATTGTTGGATTTTACAGAAAAAAATATCTTTGGCTATTGGATTAGATTATTCATGGATATGTGTGTGTGTGTGTGTGTGTGTGTGTGTGTGTGTGTGTATTATATTGCACAATTCTTGAAATATTTAATCCTACCTCATTTAAAGGCAATTGAACTTCACCTTTTTGTTTGCATTTTAATCCTACGCTCTCTATAGTAACTATGTTGTCTAGATTTAAGTCAGTTATAATAGTTATAACACTCAAAAGAAAAATTATCCAGGTACCGGTGGCTCCCGCCTGTAATCCTAGCTAGCTACTGAGGAGGCTGAGATCTGAGGATCAGGGTTCAAAGCCAGCCACGGCAGAAAAGTCTGTGAAACTCTTATCTCCAATAAACTACTAGAAAACCAGAAGTGGTGCTGTGTCCTTTAAAGCTATATAACTAGAAACTAGGTAAGCAACCAGTTCACAACTTGGTCTATTACTATTGTCTTTCTCAATATTTTTTAATTATAAAATACAAACAATTGCCATTCCCTCAGCTCTCCTATTTTGCACAGTTTCTCAATCTTTCTCTTATTGGTTTAAAAAAATGAACATTTTTTATATCCTAATTTGTTACCTCTTAAATCTTCCTTATATGTACTATATATTATTGATATGTATTTTTAATCAGTTAGTTCTTTTAAATCAGATTGTCATCATTGGACTCTTCCAATTAAATGTGGGAAAAAAATTTTCACTGTATCCTTTCTACTTCTTTTCCTTTCCTTTAATTAAGTTGATTCTTTAAATGCTTCCCTTTTTTTCACTTTTCAGTCTCACACCTATAATCCTAGCTCCTCAGGAAGCTAAGATCTGAGGATCTTGATTTGAAGCCACCCAGGGCAAAAACTCAGTGAGACTCTTCTCCAGTTAACTACAGAAAAGCAGAAGTGGGCTGTGGCTCAAAGTGTTAGAGCACTTACATAGAGAAAAATGCTCAGGGAGAGAACCCAGGCCATTTCATGACCAACAATAACACAAGAACAACAGGAAGGATAGGTATATTAACCCTAAAATTTGTCTCCTCTACTCTCAGCTTAACAAGAATCTCTAATTAATAAGGTTTATTGGTACAGAAAGTACAAGCAAGTAGCATTGTAGAAGTGATTTCTTCTTTAAATCATTTGCATTCTAGATTTCATGAGATTAAATAGCTTTTTCAATACTTTGACTATTTATCATATGTTCTTGGTTTCAATTGCATCTCAAAAGATGTCAGAGCTTGACTTTTATTCAATGTGCACACATAGAGGAATATGATACTTATGCATTACACCCTCTATTCCACTTGCAGTTGAACACAAAAACAACAACAAAAACAGATAGAAGAGCTTCTAAAAATGTAGAAATTTTTATACTTGGCATCAAGAAATGATGTTTTAAGTCTATTTAAATGTAATATTTGCATTATAATGTTCATGAAATGTTAAAATAAATCAGAAAAATGATTTAATCCCTGAAAAAAGAACATAATCTAAGCAAAAGATAATCTTAGTCCTGTTCAAATTTTGCCTAGATACAACTGCTAAATCCTGTTTTTCTCTGCCTTCTATTAAACAAATGGGACTGATTCCTTTTAAGATATCTGTTTCCCAAGGGAAAGAATTATTCAGAACCCAAAGAATACAATGTTTAGAGACTTACCTATAAGAAATACCATAAATAGATCATGTCAAAAAGACAGAGAAACAAATAGCTTTACATAAAGCATTGCCTTAGGGATTTGACTGTTGTTGTTATTACCTGAAAATAACACTAAGAATTTTTTTACAATGTTTTGTAATGGTTTTTAGGTCTTCTACAGTATAACATATTATAAATAACTTGTTCTTCCACAAGTATCCATTCCAAAGATTTATTGAGCACTTATTCTCAGTATCAAAGTATGTTCTAGGAAAAATTTAGAAGACTGTCCTTCCCTCAAAATGTTTTTGCTTCATTTTAATGGAAAGATACATATACAGTATTTCATATATCAAAATTAAAAGAAAAATGAAGAGAAATGTTTCACAGGATAAATAAAATCAGTTTCATTTTCATTTGGACTAAAATGATAGTCTAGTTCACTGAGTTCTTTATTTAGGTTTGACACAATTTGTACTTAAGAAAAAGAAATGCTTGTAGACTAAAATTCCAGAGACAGAAAAATTTTGCCACCTCACTTGAAGCCAAGTTATATACAGGTATTTTGAATGTGACTGTTGAATTTAAACAAATGCCAGAATTCTCTATGCTTCTGATTAAAAACAAAACCAAAAAGGTAGTTACTTAAAGTATTTTTAAAGTGTATGATTTATTCTAAAACCTATAGAAGAAATGTTTGGAATAATGAAATAACAGGACAATGATACTCACAAAAATGAGTAATACATTGTTACCATCAGCTAAATATGACCTACTACTAGAATGCTTCTGAAGGATTTTGTATAAAATAGTTTACCACAATATCATGTCTCAGTACTACCTCTATGTCTAGTTTTGTGTGTGTGTGGTTTTTTGTGTATGTGCGTGTGTGTGTGTGTACACACACATGTGTTTGTGCATACACAGGCATGCATACCCAGATACACACTAGATCTGGGGCTTGAATTAAGGGATTTATATTTTCAGTGGGCTTTTTCACTCATGACTAGAACTCTCCCACTTGAGCTAATTCTACAGTGAAGTATTTTTCTGTTAATTTGGGATAAAAACCTCTCAGATTTCTCTGCCTGGAATGGCTTCAAACTTCTTTCCTCTGGTCACAAGCCTTCTGAGCAGCTAGGATTATAAATATGAGTGCCTAACTTCTTATAGCTGATAAAATTATTTTCTTGGTGGTCTCTCCATCCATTATTTATCCTTACTCTTCATTTTACCTAAATACTTCCTTTCTCAAGAATTTCTCAGTGTCTTTCTTATATGTGTCAAGTCTTTGCCCAGTTTCATCCTTTGAATTAAGAGTAATAAACTGATGACCTGTAATTTCTTCTTTGGCACACAAGAAATCTTTTGTTAAAACTGAGAATTCTGTTCACTTCTGGTCTGTCTACTACAAGATACAAGATGATAGGAAAAGCATGTTCATCTCTGCTCCTACTCACATTACTTTACCCAGGGAAAAAATTAAAATAATATAGACAATAGAGTCCTTCAAGACCTGGGCTTTCCACAACAGAGGTAATCATTTAACTTTTATATGTATTTCTGATTTTCTACTGCTATAAACAAAGATATTAACAACTTAAACTATGAGACATCAGCAATATGAGTAAAATACCATTTAGAAATTTATATCCGTGAAGTCTTGGCACTAACGTTAATGAAAAAATCTTCTCTCCCCATCACTGTACCTGGTAAATTGTATTTATTCTAAAATCACACATACCAAAAGTTACCATGACCATTCATGACCATTCTTTATTCTATGAAAGCTGCTTATTTTCTCTGTATCTTAAAAGTCCCTCTTAAGTAATTTAATATATCTATCCTTCTCTGTAT